GTCCAAATGACTTTAATTGTCTCAGTAGATGAAAAGAATCTACAGCCACAGAAGAAATTGAAATTGGTAATGCTGTATGGTATTCTGGTATCATTTACTGCACTGTTTCTTAAAATTTCTTCTCTCAGGACCCGTTTTCACTTTTAAAAATTATGGAGGACCCCAAAAGAGTCTGTTTATAGGGGTTGTGTTTATAGATTATTTTAACTTACTAAACATTATAATTGGCCCATTTGCTGCCCCTACCACTTCTCATAATGTTTTGATGGGATTTTAATTGTATGATTTTTCAATATAAGCAGGCAAATAATTTTGATCCTGAGAGGGTCTTGGTGGATCCCCAGGGTTCTAGGACCACACTTTTAAGAGACACCGATCTATTGCATTTCTTTCTATTTAGTAAGTACCATGAATTCTGAAAGGTCATCACCAATTTACCTGGTAGTTACTTAACAGCAGAGTGATTCAGTTGTTCTTAAAGTGATAGAAAGTCTGTCCTGGTTACTATTTTGAACAGTGATAGATTGATGTATCTGGAAGGCAACTTATGTCACTGGTGTGGAAGTGATCACTAAACATCTGTAGGGTGTATGCTGATAAAAATCTACAGGTAAGAGCCAGGCTTGTGTGAACTTATTGTATCTGCACAATAAGGGGAAAGCAAAAACACGTAGCCCATGGCAACATGTATCACCAGTGTGAACAACCAGCACTTTTATTGCATTAGAGAATGCTATAATGTCAGTAATAAGTACTGACTACATAACATTTTATTGTCTGCATCAACAGACATGGAATGATGGAATTACAGTTGATGTAAGGAATGAGTTTCTTGTATGCCTAAAAATAAAATAAAAGGAGAATCTCATTACTGGCAGCACATACACATGAAGCACCATGCTAACAGTCTGACTGTACCATTTTCATCAAGGCTTATAGGAAGGAGATAGTCTGTTACCTACGTTGGATTTGTTGAAAAATGTAGACTAGATCAGCAAATGCAATTCTGAAGACTTAAGAATGAGGAAACTGTTTCTGGAACATCTAAAAACTCTATCTGAGTCTGTTAACCAAAAATGTACCAAAAGCTCTCCAAGAGTTTAAAACACATTCTCCCTGTTATAAGGAATGTAGCTTGTCAGCATTCTGAAAACTACGATACTTCAAAATTATTTGTTTAAAAACTTTGAGATATATATATATTTATATATAAAAAATATCTTAATGATCTGTATTATTTGAAGAATAATACGATTTATTCCTTTTTCCCTTACCCCTGATCATGGATATTATGGTTGAATCTCCTAAAGGAGATTTCCATCCCCTTTCACCCACCCACCCCCCACCTCCCCCCAAAAAGTCCTTAAGCATGAGCCTTAATTCTCTTTCTCCTCTTTTCTTCTACTTTTGGTAGAAAACAGAAATCCAGTAAGTTTGAAGCATTTGAACTGTGCTGTTCTAATCCAAGGAAAGGATGGTCTTTGTAGAAAATGAGATGCCTGCTTGTAGGCGAAAAAGTTATTTAGGAGGATCCACCGGGACTAACCCTAGAGACTGGGATCGGGTGTTCCCTGCCATCTGGAGATCTACAAATAGAGCAGGAGTCTGCAAATCTGCTGCCTATTTGGTATCCACCTGGTCAGGAAAACCTTTCAGTCTCCTGTGCTGCAGCAGGAGACCCACACCGAGTAAAGGCAGCCTGGACAGGAGGGCAAAGAAAGAAGGCAGAAGCAGCCCAGAAAGGACTGAGGGATGATAAGGTAGGCTTCGACTCATTCCTAACAGCAGTTTCACCTGATATGTGGTACTCCTTTTATCACGTTTGCTTTTCTGAGAGAAAAGGAAAACAGAAACAAAACCCATGTAACAAACTGTCTTTACATCTTGGCACCTTGTAAAGTATTTCATTTTATACAAAAGTTCAGATATTTTGACACTTTTCCATTATTAATCACTACTTCACTGATAAGCTTCGAAAGTGTGACTCTGGGAAAATCATCATGCAAAGTATTTACTGCAGCAGGAAAGAAACAACTTTTGAAACTCTCTTTTTCTTCTTTGTTTTCGTAAGGTCGCCCAGATAGGCAGAGATGGGGATAACAAAAGGTGGAGAAAGGATTTAAAGAACAAATAGCGTGAGAACAACAACAGAAACAAAAAAAAAACAACAACAAAAAATATATATATCAAAAAACAAAATCTCAGAAACAAACTTATACAAACATGATTTGATCTGTAACGGAGGGAGGGGGAAAAAAAACTGCCTACTATTATGTTACAGTTCAGAAGCCAACAGGGAGGAGGGGGGAAATTACCAAAGAAAAACAAGGAAATTGGGATTTTTCTCCCACATGTCAGCAAATGGCATCCCACAGTCTTAAAGCAAGGGTAACTAAATGAAATACATGTGCAGCATATTCCGCAATTCCATTACATACAGTAGGTTTTTTTTTTCCAAAGCATTTGTCAAAGTATGGTTAATATAAAGCAGTTGCACAAAAAGCAAAAGGTGTTTTGACAAACATCTGCATTAATTCCTTTGGAGGAATATTTTTTTTTTATTAAAAAAAAAAAGAGGACCGTCTTCCCCCCTTTTCCTGTTTCCCCTTGCCAACCCACCCCCACCCGCCAAAAGACAAAACGGGATCACAAGAGACACATTGGGCTATATATGTACAACATAATAAACCGGAGCCCTGAGGAACCATTGTTATGATCCAAAGGGACACAGAATCAGAAATTTGTAAAAAATAGTGTAGTTTGCTTGATGTAAAGCCTGAGATCTCCTCTTGGTTCTTATGCAGGGCAGTGATACCTGCAAGGTATGGTAGTTATTTTTTTTTAAAAAAAAAATTCTTTCCTTTTTTTAAAATTTTGCTACAGTCTTTAGTCTATGCATGCAAGACATACAACTAAGTGCAATTGAGTGAAATGTAATTTTTTTTTACTCATTCCCTAACAGTTTGAACTGAGGTATGCGTACTAACAGTTTCTCATGCTGTTATCTTTACTCATGTCTAGCTACACATGCTGAGAATGAACTAATCTACCAGATTTTTATCCCCTTTCTGAATACCAAGCTAACCAGCAAAACCACTCAGTTTTGAACCACAGGGACAGGTATTGTTTGTTATGTCCCTCTGGTTATGGCCTGCACATTATGGAGCTGCCTGAATATGGTGTGTTTCAGAACATTTCAAATGACTTACAGGCTGCCCTCCTTTAAAAAAAGAAGTCAGGGGGGGGGAAGCGAGCTTTACATATTTCACTGTTGGCAAAAAAAAAAAAAAGCTAAAAACAATTTGCTATTTTGAACTTAATGACAAATCTCCCCCATTGGCCTGAATGATACCAAAGTTTAGAAAGAAATAGGGATGTTACCATATTAAAAAAAGATGAAAACCCAAAATGAAATGGGATGGGCAGAGACCAACACAACCATCACCACAGTCATTCTCAAATCTTGGGCACAGGTAAGCAAAGTTAAAAAGAAATTGCCTTGGCACTGGCTTTTAGCAAAAGTGAATAGGTCAAACCCCAAATAAAAGCATACCAACAATTTCTTCAGTAATTATGGTATGGTTCAGTTTCAGTCACGAGTGCTCTTTCGTATTTCATGTAAACTCTCTCAGTTTCAAGTCATTCTAGGTTTTTTTCGGCATAATAAGTTCTCCTCCTATATCCTCAATATCAAATGGTGCCCTTTTCAAGGTCTCATTCTCTAACTTCAGCCTAAAAAGCTCTCTTTACAGAAATACTTTTGGTTACTGTAAAGAAAAAAAAAACGACAACAGCAAAAACTTTGGTTCAGCCATCTACTTGGTCTTCTAAATTATACTTTAATAAAGGAGCAGTTTTCCTTCTCAGGTTAGCTGTAGCCCATTATTTTGTCATTTGCTTCGTAATTCTTTAGCCTCCTTTGATCAACAATAAGAGGATATTTGGCTTTCATAAGATAAAGCATATAACAGAGAACATAATTTACTTTGTGTAATATCTTTGGTAACTTTAGGGGAGAAGGGTACAAAGTAGAATATAAATTAAGATCAGAAAGACTTCTGAAATTAAAAGCTATAGTCCGACATAAATGAGTGAATTACTTGAAAAGTGGTTAGAGAATGAAGTCACTAGGAGTTTGGTGGTCAAGGGGTACCAACATTTGAACTGCAGCTGTCTGCCCACTCTTGCTGTTGAAGACTGTTGATGTGCAACAGCGCATCTGGTTTACCCACAGATTTCAGACTGTTTGTTTTTTATACTGGTTGGTGTGATATTGTGTAATGATCTTATCTGCAATGGCAAAATTACTAACACTTAACAACTAATGGACCTTATTGCCTTCCCAACGAATTGAATGCAACAACTTAAACTGAAGGGTGCCACCAATTAAATCTCAAACAACTTAACTTGGAAGAACCACCATGAGTAATGTCCAATGAGGCATGTGGGCAAACAAGAATCTAATAGTACATGTGCTAACATACTTCAGAAATATTTGATTGGCCCAGGAACCTATTTTAAAAAAGTTAAACGCACAAAAGCCTTACACAGTTACACTTCTTTCTGACAACTTCTGTAGGGTGTGTGCACTTTCTGAAGGGGCTGTTTCTCTAAATATTCACAATTGCTGCATATAAGGAAAAACCAACAGGGAAAACCCCCACAAACAATGGTTTTATGTGCATGTGTATACACAAGCACACACAAACATAGACGGTCTGTGGAATGACTTTAGAACCTCACTCTACAGCTTTGATGCTGGCTTGCCTTTCATTCTCACTCTTGAATTACTGCCTTTCTTTCTGTCATAAGATAATTTTGCACAGGTCACAGCAGCATTTTAGAACTTTTCCCAGAGCCGGGTGTGTGTGTGTGTGTGGGGGGGGCATATAGTCCAAAATGGAATGTTTTCCATAGCTAAAGAAAACATAATGGCATCTGAAGGAAATTTGGAATGGATGGCAGAAAAAGAACTACAAACAATTCAAAGAACATTCAGCTTTGTATAATAAACACACCTATTAACATTCATCACAAAAGTACAGAAAACATTAAGCCTCAAAAGGCCCTGGCCAATTGAGGCCTGAGGTCAGAACTTAAAAATGTATAGGAGAACTAGGAGAAAAAAAAATTAAAGCTATACACTAAAAAAAAAGGTTTTTTTTTCTTTTAACCCTTTAGTATACACACACACGCACACTCAAAAAGATTTCCCCATCCCAAATGGAAGCAAAAACAAAAACAAAAAAAAAGTAAAGGCAGTGATAATCAACATGCGATACTGTGCAAATATATTGTCCACTGAAATTCTTAAAATCTGGGTAAAGGCTTGATCTGCAATTGATGTGTACATGCTCAGCTTCATGTCTTCAGTGTCCCATAGTGGAAGATCTGCAGTCCAAAGTCTGCTGCCAAGTTGTGGATAAGGGAATTAGTGGAACACATTTACAACACTGATGTTGACTGTGAGTAGGAATTCCGAGTACCAAACAAGTCCATCCAATGCACAGAGTACAAATTCCTTTGTTTTGTTTTTCAACAAAAAGTAGAAAAATCAAAAATACTCCCAAATGGGATACTTGATGGCACTAAGTGTTAACATATTTTATAGCTGTCAGAATGGACCAAGTGTTATCTTCCAGACTGTACAATGGCGGGGAGAGATTTCACAGCTAATTCTGAAAGATAGGGGTGTGTTGTTTTTTTTGTCCCTCCCCAGGATCTTCATTTGCAGAAGGAAAAGTCACAGACATTTTTATTCAATGTCTTCATTTACATGTTCATCTTCATAATCTCTGTCGTGATCAAATTCTGGACTGTGGTTGGCTGTGGTGACTAAGGAGAGTGGACCTTCATTTTCATCTGGATCTAATGGCTCTTCTTTGACATGCACAGGGTGTCTGTAAAAAAAAGCACACAAACATACACACAAACAGAAAAAGGATGGATGAGCAACTGTTGTTGTTTTTTTAAAAAAACTCTTTAGGTAAAAAACAGGTTAAAACAATTCAAATATATTGAACATTGCATACTAAAAAACTATTGACCTCTGTGTTATGAAAGTCAAGGATTATTTCTAGTGATTTCATAGATGTAACCTAATGTTTTTTTGGCAAGAATAGATGAGCTGTACTAGCTCCAGGATTATTATTTTTTTAATTCCCAATACACCCTTGGTGTTCTGAAAAGGTGTCTCTTTCAACTGCTAACCAGGCCTGACTTTGCTTAGATCAGTGGTTCTCAACCTGTGGGTCGGGACCCCATTTGGGGTCGATCGACCATTTCATGGGGGTCGCCAAGCAAGGCTGTCCGCCATTTTTTTGTCCACCATTTTTCCCCCTTTTCCGGCGGGTGCCTTACCTCCCTTGGGCTGGGCCAGCTGGTGGTCGGCCTGCTCTGTCTCTGCCGCTTGCCAGCTACGCCTCGGCCGGCGCAGGGGGCGGAACCATGCATGCGCGGCGCTCCCGGGCAGGGAAAGTCCTCAACTTACGACCGGTTGGGTAGTCCTCGACTTATGACCGGTTTAGTCCTCGACTTACAACCGGTTTAGTCCTCGACTTACGACCGGTTGGGGTCGCGGCATTAAAAAGGTTGAGAACCACTGGCTTAGATTCTCAATCAGGCCTGGTCAGCCAGGTGCTGCCACCTGGCGAGACACCTATGATCTTAGAGAATTAAGATTCTGTCTTTTAAAATATGTTTGAGAACTTGGAAACACAGCCTGTCCAGCAAAGCAATAAAGGTATCTATTCAAATAGAACAATAAAAAGAGTAAACCTTCTAAATTACTTGGAATCCCTCCTCACTGTAATTGTTACAGAATACATGTCTATGGAGATTCTCAACCATCCAGGTCATGCTGGTCCCCAAGGTGCTTTTCAAAAGGCAACTGGACTTCCTTGGGGGTGTTTTTTTCTTGAAAATGTTTTGCTTCTCATCCAAGAAGCATCTTCAGTTCAGTTGTAGAATACAGTTTCTTCCCAGCCGCCCACCTCATTGGTCATATGTACAATTCATACTCTGAGACTTAGCCTGGCTGCAAATAATGGAACACTTTGCATGTGTAAGAATACTTGGGCTTCAAAAGAGAAAAACAGCAAGGGCTGCAGCTCAAGGTTTCTTCTTGGGATTCAGAGGAAATGCTCTCAAGTGACACATTAGCTTGATTAATACAATCTTCAGATAAATAAATGAAATAAGCATCTGTAAAGCAAACCCATGGTTTATCAGCCTACTGAGCTTCTGGAGGCTGGGCTAATCATCGGTTAGTGTGTGTTCTGCTTTTCTAGTTAACATGCATAACCTGTGAGAGAAGTCTCCAGAGGACGACCCCAAGTGAGGGTCTATCATTAATCAACTTCAAGCAAACACAGCAAAGAGACACCATGATACATGCTTTAAACCCCAAATTAATGCATATTTTTTACAAACTGTCAATAAGGAAAGAAAAGCCCTGCCAGGAAACACAAACGGAGAGGAAAAGGCTCGCTCAACACAACAATATGATAAGAAAGCAGAGTCCTAATGAGAATAATAACGCTGTCAGCTGTAAACAAGGCGGAACATGATCCTCAGCTCATGGTGGGCACTAAGGATGCACTAAGGAGATGAGATCTGCCAAATTTCTCATTACAGAATAGCATATGAATAACCCACAAGGGATCAAGGGTTGATTATACAAAATGGGCATGATAACATTTGAAAAATGTTGTCCGTAAATCATATTCATAACAAACCCCTTTACAAATACAAATTACCTTCCCCTTGTTTTATTGTTTGGGGGCTTTTGATATGTAAAAATGTCCCTGCCAATAAGCCGGTGTCCTCCTTTATGAAAGAAGGCTTGATTTTATTTGCAATACCTTGTAAATAATTATAGCATGACCCAAAGAGCGAATTCAGTCTGTCTTGTAAATACCCGCTAACCTGCACCATTAGGTATTTTAGACAATTAAAGCTAACCCTATTAAGTTAAAGAAAAAAATTACTGAATGAAGTTTCATTTACACATTTTGAGTGGAAATGAAGAGACAATTTCTCCCTAAATAATTTTTATGGCCAGGAGAAAACCAAATCTAGTGGTCAAAAATCAGCTTCTTCCTGTGTTAGTATCTGTACTGTAATTGTAAAATAAGCGTGAACTGGGTCATGTCTTAACACTACTGTTTTGATTTGTGCATTTCAGTGTTTCTATCATTTATAGGTGACTGTTTTGAAAGACTCCAGATACACACTGACTCCTACCAAGGCAGAATCTTTTTCAAATAATTCTCTCAGTATAATCTCTTGAATTATACTTGAATTGAACTCCAGGGTGAAAGTGTTGGTACAGATAGTATAAATGCACAGTGGAAGAACAACTTAAGTGTACTGAGGAGTGTTACTTGCTGTCTCTTTTTATGTGACATGAAAAGCATGAAATCCCTTATGTTTGTAAGCATGAAAAAGCATGAATCCCTTATGTTTACAAGTAGCGTGCAAGAATAATCTTCTGTTATAAAAAAAAAATTAGTAACCAAAGTAGTCGTATTAGCTGACATGTAACATATGTTTAATTCTCTATATCCTTCTGGATTGTTTCACTGAACTCTTTTCTCTGCTAAAAGAAAGATGCGATGACATTTAGAAAATGTGAAACCAAGGGATGGGTCGGCTATTTTATTCGGCAAACAATTTTCAGCACTTTTTAAAATTCGATGGCATCCTTACATCATAAAAATATTGCCTTCTCGGTGGCTTCACATTTTTAAAAATATTGTTTTTAGTTATTCTCCTTGGATTCTGTTAGCAGTTTTGCACATCATAGTTCTAGATTTAAAAAAGGCATAAAAGTGTCTGTGTGTGTATGTGTGGGGGGGTAACCGAGAGACTTAGAATTTCTCTGTGGGAACTTTTGAGGAGAGTTCTTAGAAAAGTTTTTCCTGCTCACAACTTGAAGACAAAGAATTCTTCCTCAGCCGTTGCTCAAAAAAACAGAAATTAAACTTTGCGGGTCTCTGCCTGGCTCAAAAAACTTTCAGGTTAAACCTCCACAGCAAAATTCATCTACCTCATTCTGGCTCCTGAATAGTGCTATTGATTACATAATTGTCTCTAGAGCCTGACAAATTAGGCCTAAATTTGACAGTATCATTTCCCAATCCTGCTCCAGTTAAATTTCTTCACTCAAGAAATACATACTGAGGATGTCAACGCTGCTAATATCGGATGTTTTTGCTTTGACAACAGTTAGAGATGCAACCATTTTCTTCTTGTGTTTTACTTTTAGAGTTAGATGATGCTGGGGGTGAGGAGGAATGTGCATGGAAGTTTAGACAGACATAATAATACTGGACTTAGTGTGTGAACCAAGGTTAATGAAATAAGAGATTATAAGAATTGGCTGGCTTGAGAAATGGAGGGAGAGCCTACATTTCAAACTGATTGGAGAATGTGATTTATGACTGTTAATTGGAGGAGGGAATTGTGCTTTGAGACTAGTGCTTAGGGGACGGGAATCCAGTTTTTGGCTTCGACTGTGTTAGCCCATGCTATGCTACTCAAATAAAGATTCTTTAAGATAAACAATGCCTCGAAGTTCTTTGAAGAGTTTCATCTGTCAGAACCATGACAGAGGATTGCTACTAATCCTTAAAGAACTTACTGCCAGCCATGTGGACATCCCATCTAAATCAAATGATAACTGAGCTACTGGCCTCAGATCATCTACAGAGTGCTCAGTATGGCCTGACACCAATTGAGTCTCTTGATGCACTCTTGGAGAACGGTAATACCCTCACCCAAAAGCTCCATTAGCATCTAATGTGCACCCTTGAAGCAACAGCACTCCAAACCATGGTTTCACAGGGATTGTATTAATGCTAAAAAAAGGTTCTTGTTGCCAGACTTATGTACTCAAAATTACACTGGCAGCTGCACATAATCTCCTTCCATAGAAGAGATGTTACAAACAATTGCTGACACATAAAAAAAAGAAAGCCACGAAAAACAATTGGACACAATTCATTCAAATCGTCAAATCCAATTATTCAGTCTCGTTTTGGCATATCACATCAAACTCCAAAAGCAATGGTCCACCCATGATGGACTGTCACATACCCTCAGGGATCCGGGAGGCACCCTTTCATGAACTCTACATGGACTACTGTGGATGCCCTAGTCCAGGGGTAGGCAATTCTGGGAGTTGAAATCCACGAGTCATAAAAGAGCCAAGGTTGCCTACCCCTGCCCTAGTCAAACTATAGAAAATACGCTAATGTGGGCACCAATGACCCTTTATATATATAAAGGGAAAATTGATTCTAGGACTGACTGACTGACTGAATTCAGGGCTGGTTGACAGTAAGATTTCTGCTGAAGTGTAGGCTTGTTTAGTAGTTAGTTACGTTAACCAGCCATCTGAGTTTGTGTTAAAGGCCTGATCGGTTTCATTGTACCACAACAGTTAAAAACGATTTAATTTATGGAAGGGTACTCCATTAAGGAAAATAAGAATATCACTGTAAAAGGTACACGACAGAAAGTATAGACAGGAAATAACAACAGCCTGCACTGAACACTGGAATATTATATTGTCTGTCCAGAAACACAAACTTTCTAACCAAAGTACCTGTAGGCAGGACAAGAAACAATGGATGGAAACTAATGAAGGAGAGAAGCAACCTGGAACTAAGGAGAAACTTCCTAACAGTGAGGACAAGCAACCAGTGGAACAGTTTGCCTTCAGAAGTTGTGGGTGCTTCATCACTGGAGGTTTTTAAGAAGAGACTGGACAGGGGGTTGGATTAGAAGACCTCCAAGGTCCCTTCCAGCTCTATTCTGATTTAAATTAACAGTTGAAAGAAATGCTATCATGTGCCCTTGTAAATAAGTGCCCAAGCACAAGACAGACAGAGAAATATGGAGTATTTCTGGGAAATAAAATGCCTTACTCTTGAAAAATTCCAACAACCTAGCATTTCTATCGGTATTATATTCATGGCATGGGAAGAACAAAAATATTTGTGACTGAAAATGCCTAAAGAGAAAACATTCAAGCAGTGCTAAAATAATGTCATGTTAGGCTACTTTGGGAATGCTAATTAATACTGCACAAACCATCTCTATAAACGCTAAAATCTGTTCCAATGTTTTGAAGGTAAAAGACAATGTTAAAATTAATTATCAAAAGTGAGTATTGCCTTCTTTAAAGCTTTTTTCTCAAAGCAAAATGAACACTTATTTAAAATGCTGAAATATCAAAGTAACAAGAATCTTTTTTCTCCTCAACCCCCTGCCCAAAATATTTTGCAGGTAGGAAACTTGTTATAAATAATTACATGCTAATTATGTTCACAATTAATAATTAGACTAGCTTCAGGTTAATTTTTCCTACCTTTTGATTTATAACTTTTAAGCCACAGCTCGTTCACTACAGCTAATCAAAGCCCTGTTAAAAGGAACAAAACAGGGCTGGCAACTGACTGAAATGTAATTCCAAAGTCTTGCCCAAAATTGTTTTTCTGGCATGAGACAGCAGAGAGTGACAGAAACTTTATTTCAGTCATTGACCAATAAAAGTATGTTCAATAAAACAAACAAGACAAAACTATTTCCTAATAATAAAAACTATTGGCAATAAAAACTATTGCAGAAGCAGCTTATACGTAATGAACTTTGCTATTTTTAGAGAAATAAATTTATGTCGATCGTTTAATAAATCAAGTGCAAATAAGAATTATCAGAGTACCCCAGAAATGGGAATATGCATAAAGGATGTGTAAAATGTTTCAAATTAAAATCATTCTGAATTTGAAATGCCGTATTTCAAGTTTGAAACACTAGAAATAGTTTATTTCAATAATCTGCAATGTTTCAATTATCAAATCGCCCTATTCTGGGGATAATGCAGTGGTTTCCAACCTGAAATGGGGCATTTTAAATTTAAAGCAATTCAAATGTTAAATGCTTTGCACCCTACTAATATAAAGCTCCTAAGCTATAGAACAGTGATGGCGAACCTTTTAGAGACCGAGTGCCCAAATTGCAACCAAAAACCCACTTATGCATCGTCAGGGCCCAGGTGGGTGTGGCCCATTGGCTGGGTGTGGCCAATTGGGGGGTGTGGCCCATTGGGTGGGCATGGCTGCGGTGGCAACAGCAGACTGGGTGTGACTAAAAAGTTCAATCAATCAATTCCAACTTTGCAAGATTTTTTTTTTCCCGTGAGAAGTTGAAATTGACTGATTGATTGAACCTTTTTTTTTTTTTTGCACACGGCAGCAAAGGCCTAAAGCGAAAAGGTTTTATAAAACCCAACTGAAGGCCTAGGACTGGGGTGAGGGCACGCGTGCCCACAGAGAGGGCTCTGAGTGCCGCCTCTGGCACTGCTATAGAACTAGGTGTTTTTAGTTGAAAGAACCTGATGTATGCCAATTTCTCCATTTTTCTAGTAGCGCATTTTCGTGCACATGTGGAATGCATTTTGGAAGCAAAAATTAAAACCAAGTGCACTTCTGTCATAAAAACAGTACCATGGATTGCTGTTCTCAGCCACATGTTTTTGGAAACTCACCACAAAGTCTTATGAGCTTATGGCTACCTCCTCTTACTGAAATCATTGTTTAAATGGAATTCAATTTGGAAAAAACTAAACTAATTAAACTGGCAATATCACTGTCAAAAATACATGCCAAGATCCTACTTATGTCGTAGAAATTGGCCAAGGAGACATGGTAGGTTCCTAAACTGCTTTATTTTGAGATCCCACTGCAAGAAACCACGTGGTGCATTGACTGGCCCCTGGGATGTGTTCAGTATGGAACATACAGGTAGTCCTTGACTTACAATCACAGTTGGGACTGGAACATATGTTGCTAAGCAAGACACTTATTAGATGAGTAGTACTCAATGTTATGACCTTTTTTGTTGTGGTCATTACACTAATCTGACTTGCCCCATTGGCTTTGTTTGCTGGAAGCATGCTGGGAAGACTGCAAATGGCAATCGCTGCAACTGTCATAAATACAAGCCAGTTGTCAAGTGGCTTGAATTTTGATCATGTAACAATGGGGATGCTATGACATTCCTAAATGTGAAGACTGGTTATAAATCACGTTTCAATTCCGTCATAACTTCAAACACTTGTTAAAAGTATGATTGCTAGCTGAGCACTCCCTGTACATCACCAGCGGTACGTGGAATTTCCTCTTGATCTCTTTGTAGCTTTAACTGATGCATATTCTAAGTAACTGCTCTGGCTGCCGTTACTCCAAACTTTATATGTGATGTATATAGCTGGACATTTTTAAATGCTATTGATGCTCATGGGTAGTACACAAACTTATAAATTAATGTTGGTTTATCCTTGTTTTAATTCATGATCTAATAAATGTTTGAACTTTTCTAAAGTTCAGAATTTTAATTCAGCTGCGGGTGGGGTAAGGCCAGAGTTGGGAGAAACAACACACACACACGCACTACTTACATTGCTTGCATAGGGGAACGGCCTGGACTGCTGTCGCTCCCATTGCTGTTCGCATGCTCCATTGCACCATTAAGATCTTCCCGCATTGCATTGGCTAAACTGCCCAGAGTGGGGTTTCCCATGGAAGCAGTAGTGTATAGAGATAAATTGTTTTCAGCTATTGAAGCCTATAAAATCGGGGAAAAAAACAGGACAGGAGCATCGAAACAGGCACATATCTGTATATATACCACCTATCACATCCAAGTTACATTACCTTCATTTTCTTTTTCATTAAATGCAAAGGATAAAATCATAACCTCTGTATTATTAATTTCACCACTGGCATAGCTAAAAGTTCATTCATCTCCAATTTTTATCTAAAAGTAATTTCATCTCTATCACGAAAACCAATCACATACTGTACAGGAAACAATTCAAATGGAATTTTAAGAGAGAAAAAAAACCACAATACAATAAATACTTAACTTAGCCTTGAATGGTTTTAAACTTTCAAGAAGGTATACAGTCACATACCTTGCAACATTGTCTTGATGTAAATTTTCTCCACCAAGCTGGGTTTTGCCTCAAGAGGAAAGTACCACCTTTCCTCTTAATGTAAATAGTAATTTTCAATGAGGACACACATCCCCCCCCACCAGCAAAAAGGGAAAAAAATCCACATGGGCAATAGAGCAAATATATTTGATATTTGCAAAACGAATGGAAAGGTAGAAAGCTATGTATTTAATGTAATACTGGCTTAGCTGTATTCTAGCCAGAATCCCACATTCCTTGAGGAATGCTGGCGTATTTATCAGCAAACAGTGTTCTTGTGATACAAATCATCACCATTTATTCTGGAATTTGCATTTACCGATTCATTGCTCAAAGATCAAGCAACAAAACTTAAATAAGGGAGACATTCATGTCTTCTCCCCAGCAATATCTGTTGTTTTTTTTTCTTACATGTGTTCTTATGTTCTTGGTGATACTGACAATTGTAACCGGAAAATCAGTCCAGTACAGATAAACATGCAAGCCATCCTTAAAAGCAATGCATGGTAATGCACCTTTCAACATCTTAATGTATTAATTGCACAAGGTTTACACAAACCCTAAGCCCTGGTAAAAACCAGAAGAATTACCTTTATGTATCATGCTAATCCTAATCTGGTATAGGGTTTCCTGCCTGAGCACTCCTCAACTTACAACCACAATTGGGACAGGAACATCCGTCACCAAGAGATGCAGTCATTAAGCAAGTCGCACCCACTTTTACAACTTTTTTTTACCATTGTCATTAAATGCATCATTGTGGATTTAAGTGAATCACACACTTGTTAAGTGAATCTGGCTTTCCCCAATTGATTTCGCGTATGCGAAAGATTGCAAATGGCAATCACATGACCCTGGAAGACCTCAACCATAGGAGATACATGTTGATTGCCAAGTGCCTGAATTCTCACCACGGGAATGCTGCAATGGTTGTAAGTTCGAGGACCAGTCAGTCATTTTTTCCAGTGCTATTGTAACTTTAAATAATCATTAAAGGAATGGTCATAAGTTGAGGACTACCTGTATCGCTATAGCTGCTACTCTCTTCATCCACTACTAGAACTGCTCCTGGGAAAAGAATCTGGGGGAAAGCAAAAGGAGGGGCTTCCTAGAGAAATTGTGCTATTAGGAAACTAATACAGGAGACCCACTATCTAACATGTAGGGCAAGAAATAAGGGGAAACATCAAAGGACATTTTCCTCGGCTTTGAATGATACTGTTGGTTAGACCTTCAAGTAAAGTTACTGTGTACTGAATTGTGCAGCAAAGAAACAAGACAGCCTGCTTGCTTAATTAGCTGTGTTTGCAGTAGTGCTTTGAACAGAGATGCTAAAATGAAACTTGGCGTTATTGATATTATTGGAATCCCATGTGGCTGGCAGTTGGTGATGAAGGCTAAATTCCTATCATGTATCAGTCAAAGAGTTGTTGCCTGTATAACTTCAAACAAAACATCGGTTGTCTTTTGCCACAGACAGTAAAATCACCAAAGGTAGTACAAGATGGTTTAAAAGCTACCCTAAATTAGAGCTTCTGTCAAATGAGTGGGGCCACAAATTAAGGGCAACAAAAGAGAGAACTTGGCATTGGATCATAAGCTCGTTCTAATATAGTAACAGCACTCAGACTTATATACTGCTTCACAGCCCTCCCTAATACACTGTTTCTTCATATCCTTCAAGGCCGAAACCAATTTCAAATTGTGTCCGGTTTATATGTGTGATTGACTTTTCTCAATTTCAGTGAGAAAGGGAGTGACAATTGGACAGAGAATCCACTTTTCACTGTATTTTGCTTCCCTTATAAATTCTATGAAATAAAGCTAATTGCTAGCAGCATATAATGTGAATTGAATTGTACTGACTGTGAAGATTTTCATTTGATCCCCCTTTGTGCAACATAGATTTCTGAGGAGTCTTTGGTGCTCTCTGAACTTGGCTGTTTTCTTGCAGATGTTTCATTATCCATAACTAGTACTGATGATGTTCCCTAGTTTGGTAATGAAACATCTGCAAGAAAACAACGATGTTCAGAGAGCACTAAGGTCCCCTCATTTCAACCCTGAGATACAAATATTCTCCTTTATTGATATACATTTTTTATTTGATCCCCCTTTGTGTACTGAGTCTGATATGAAAATTCCACTACTTCCCATTGCAGGGATATGTTTTTTTCAGTGATGACATTATAATAGGACAGAAATTAATGTTATATTATCACATAATATAAGAGCATGGGAAAGATGACGACAACAACACATGTTTTAGAACTAAAAACATGAACTGCTCAGTATGATAAGCATGTTAATTGAAATTAGTCACATAGCTAACACAAGCTGAAGGAATACTGGATCTCTTCATTTTTGCCTTTCTGCCTCATGAATGCAAAATGTGCTTGTAATCTTAATGCTATTCCTCAGATGAAGCTTGTCTTTAAAAATTGCACTCCGCAGGACTCAAGGGAAAATACGATCCTAATGAATGGTATTTATAGTTGCTTCATTTACACATGCTTTCATTTGCTGTTCAGAAGTTACTACATAAATTAAAGTAATAAATGAAGATGTAGGTGGTTACTTATTTTGTAATCAATCTACTTCCTGATTTAGAAAGGGAAATTCTACTACATTTTTACAAATATGGTATATTCTCATGACCCGATTTCAAAAGAAGCACCACCTCGGCCTTATTTTTTAAAAAAAATATATTGTGCAAATAAAGATTAAGAATCTTAATTTATCTAAGCATTTTTCTAGAAGCATGCTACTTAAGTCTTTCCATGTCTGCCTCATAAATAGTGGGGATCTTTTATCAAGAGAGCCAATGTCTTTACTATTTTTTTTAATAACAAGAATTTGCTGAGTAGGTTATAAGCTTAATTAAGAAATAATTAAAAAATAAAAATGGTATAGAAATAACAATAAAACAACCAAGTGGTAAAATACACGAATAAAGGAAGGAATACAAAAATAAAAACACATGGAAGTGTAAAGTTAGCTGAGAAACATCTCTCTCAGCATTGATACCTGGCAAAATAACTTACACAACTGATCCATTTTTACCTGTTTGTACAAAGTTGTAACACTTGTTTATAAATATATAAATCCTGACCCTTAACATAGATTACTTAAATATTGGCTTAAAAATATTCTTCAGATCAGCATCACAAAACTGACATCTCTTTTCTTCATTCCTCATGCATAACAGCAAGGTTAGCTATTTAAAAATTTAGAAACATACACCTAGAAGATCCTTTGAAGAAGAAAAAGGAATATGTTCGTGTGTGTGTGTGTGTGTGTGTGTGTGTGGATGAGGTATCTACTTTCCCTTTAAAGCCACGAACAATAGAAGGTCATGTGACACCCTATCCTATCATTCAGCACATTAATAGCTGTGCTAGAGTAATTACACTTGTGGTATTTTTGCCTCAAGTGAAATTCTGAAATAAGAGGATGGAAATTATGATACTGCTGATAAATATTAATAAGTGAACTTTTAATTTTTTTTGCCACAATATTCAAAATGCTAAGCATCTAGCTAATGCTGAAGCAGCCTGGTATGTGTTTGCCTCCAGGGACTATGATGCTTTATGCACTTAAGAAAAAAGTTTAACGGAATTAAAATTTAATATCTAATTAGAGCAAGGCTAATATATTTTGAAATGAATACAGAAGGCACACATGCCTATGTGGTGTATTTGCCACGCTCATTAATCTTACCTGTAAAGCAGCACTGAGAGGTGAGCAGTAGGTGTGGCTGGTCTGCATGTTTTTAATAAGGGAAGGGTTTCTGTGCAAGGAAAATATATTTGAAAAGAAAAAGCATACAAATTAAATGCAGTCAAACTGCTATACTTTAGGAAATCAGTTTCTTTCCTACATCACAAAATACAGTAATATCATCAAAATACTATTATTTCCTCCCCATTTTTTTTTATAAAATTACTTAACTGAAAAATAGAATGCTTTTTTGGTGAGCTTCACCAGTAAAAGGCAATCGGTCTTAAAATGAAATGTTTCAAGTGCCCTCGGGTTATCTTCTGAGCTATTTTCTGCTGTAGAGGGCCTACGTATCTTCACCACTCTGTGTGCAGCAGGTGTTCACAGGAGTATTTTTCATAGAATCAAGAATACTTTTTTTTCTACGGCGAGGGAGAGCGAGAGCTGTGTGTATTGCTCCAGATAATGTGTGTCTTTTAGATTTCTTGCATTTGGGAAGACAGGAAAAGCAGGCAAAGACAAGTCCCTTAAATATTGGCAGGACTCTTTCTGGCATATTATTTTCCTACATATCTTATAACGAAAGGACAATACAAAGTCATTTACGGTCCCGCAAGGGAGAAGGGCGGTATATAAATCAAATAAATTTGAATTTGAATTTGAATCTAAGAAAAATAGCCTTCTGCATCTGAACAGCCCCAACTCGTTGCTCAGGGGAAGGAAGCTATGATCCAGACAAGCTTACTTATTCTAAAAGGAAGCTCCCCCTGAGCAGTGATTGAGCCTGGACACACAACAGTCAATGCCCTGAGGAAGACGTATGGCTTTATGGGTTGTGTGAGTGATTGAATGATCTCATTGTGCAAAATGCAGGAAATCCAACAGGATTATCCATCCTCAGATGAGAACGATCGGAAAGCAGTGAGCCAAAAATAGTAGTAATAATAATAATAAAGTTGGAGGGGACCTTGGAGGTCATCAAGTCCAACCCCCTGCTCAGGCAGGTAACCCTATACCATTTCGGACAAATGGCTGTCCAGTTTCTTCTTAAAAACTTCCAGAAGAAACTGGACAGCCATTTGTCCGAGCCATTCAGAGAATGGGTGAGGAACTTTCACAATGGCAGACTTGCAGGAAACTGATTGGGGAGTTCATTTCACTCTTGTAAATGTTCTGGGGGGGGGGTCCTAGGACATAAAATTAGGATTATTGTCCCATGAAACCATAATGCCCATCTTGACTGTCTATGTCCACATGAGTGATTAGGGCCTGCTGTTCCTTTTCTAGAAGTTAAGAATCCAGAAGCATTTTGCTATTTGAGAATTCTGCTTTTCTCATTTATTTTTAGTATATAACTACAGGGCTGACCATTGAGGAACTGAGAAGATGATCTAATGTTTAATGCAATAATAACAACTATCTGTGTATTTTAAATGAGGACCTAAATATTGATTGTTGTAAAAAGGGGGAAAGGGTTGGGCTCTAACATGCTGGCAGTTCTACTCATTCAAATAAATGGACACGAACTTTTAATTTCAAAACTAATATCAATTTCAAAAGGATTTAAAAGCAATTAACACATGCATAATCCTATGCATGTCTTTTTAAAAGTGAATTTCATGGCTCTAATGTGTCTTTTGTTCATGACTGTAAACCAGTTTTTTTTTTCACGTAAAGCATAAAAAATAGTTAAGAATATAAACCTCAAAAACCTATTACTGGAAATCCTCTCTTTTCTTCCCAGAGCGAGTTTTACTCCAGTTTTAAAAAAAGCAATACTCTGTAGTCAGTGGAATCCACTTGATGACAATTTGTTTTAGGCTTAGAAAATATTAGAAAGAACCTGCATGTGAAATTTGAAAGAAGGGCCATTCTATCCCCTATTGGCACTCAGATTGTGCTTCTGAATCAGTCAACAGAAAAACATGAAAAAAGTAAAATCTTTGAACAGAGTTTTCAAATATTTGAAAGTTACCTGTAGTTAGATATATAGCATTACACATACAATGTATATATAGCATTGAAAGAATATAGGAGAGCAAGATTGACATTGAAAACATTTATATATAAAAACCAGTCAAACATCATATAGTTTATTATAACATTAGCTAATCAAGAATATATAAGTATCCCTGCACTGAAGCAAATATGACTTAGAAACATTTTATAAAATGTTAACTTAGGCATTTTCGAGAAGCAGTGCAATGCATGTACAAGCATGACATTTAAATTATTATTATTATTATTATTATTGCAGCAAAGGCAATGCCACTATTTTGTAAAGTGCAAGTCTACATGAGATGAATACACCATGCAAAGCAAAAGCAACAGAACAAAAAAACTGGGGAAAAAAATTAGCGCACACACACATACAGACACAAAGCAAGTAAAAGCTCTTACTGTGTAACAAGCTCGCCAAAGTTTTCATCAGGGCAGAATTTTCGAGGACGGCCTCGTTGAATATGACGCCCACGTTTAAACTCTTCATCATCAACAGTCCAAAAGGACCCAAACTCATCCTCTACTCTGATAAAGCACTTATGCAGGGAGAGGTTGGTGCGAATCGCACCCTGGGATAAGACCAGCGGCAAACGAGATGATTTGGAAACAGAGGGGCACGGGATCAGGGAAACAGAACAGACATCAAATACAGGGAAAAGGAAAAAACAGAACAGAAAAAAACAAAAAGAAAATAAAATGCCATAAGCCTAAGCCAATGGATTGTGAGGGTTAATATGCATTGCCACCTACAAGCTACTAGCATGTGATGCAGAACAAACACCAAGCAAGCAAGGACAAAGGGGACTGCTGGGCATACAAATGGTAGTGATGAAATGTTCTCTTATTACTTCACCTCGACTGTGCCAAGGCGAAACCATCTGGGTTGATCTAGAACACCATCTAGCAGCCAAAGCTTCTATGTTAAAACTGTAAGCATGATCCAAGCTAGGCTAAGAAGTTCAAACATGGTGGACGTACCCACTGATCTTTTGTGGCCTTCGTTTTTGGAACTCTACTTCATCCACTGTCCATACTGCCCCTTTAACATTTTCTACTCGCACAAAACACTTGTGAAGGCTAAGATTATGACGCACTGCATTCTGCAGCAAGTATAAGAGAGAAAACATTGGGAAAAAAAAAACTTTCCATGAGAAAAAGAGTCTTAGCATTGTCAGCCGGCAAGTCCCCCTTTCCCTCATCCCGCCCGCCACACCGGACAATATAGTTATAACTTGTCAGATTTGCAAAAGAAAGATCATGAAAACCACCCTTTGAGTGCTTTGTTTGGAGCGACAATTGTAAGAATAGTTTAAATTTGGCAATAATACAACATTACAGTAATTTTATCCTTGTATATTACCAGGGACTTTTATTCAGTTAAAAACAATAGGGTTCAAATACACACACACACAAACACACATATATCTCCTCCTCTGAAAGAAGAAAAACTTCTGTATTCTGCTGACACCCTGATTCTTATTATATTTTCATGGCCTGGAAAGTTAAGAAATCTGAAGTAATTCTATATATTAATATGATGGGAATCCAACCAAAGCCTTGTTCTTTACCACATCTTCCAATTTCTGTTCCTCATTACTGGAGTTAGAACCATGAAGGGGATGATTTTAATATCCCATAATATTCATCATTTGTGGTTCAAGCATTGTTATCAGAATTATGAATCTTGTCATGTTTCTGACAACTTCATCAGTTGTCAGTTTAATCAAATCTTAATCGACTTTTAAAATTATTTATTCAATTTGCACACCACCCAGGTCCCAGTAACTCTGGGCAATCCACAATTTAGTCTTAGACTGAATTCATATGGAGTACTATAAAGTCCTCCATTATAGTACAAATAATGAAACTTATTTCTACCATATTACATTTCTGTCTTATTCTTTTAATCTCTAGCATCTGATTTATCAATTTTCATGATAGTTTTATCCTGTAAATTTAAACAGCCCTGGATATGTTTAAACTGATTGTGGACAGCTTTCTAACAAACTCTACCTAAAGGTGCACAATCATTCACAATTGAGACTCATCAGAAAAAAAGCAAGCAAAGAATATATAGGTTGTTAACACACATCTGCCAATAGTCAATGGGGAGGCTACTTTACAGGCATAATGCCAGGGAAATATATGGACAGATGTTTAAATAACCTAAAAGGCTAAGTCCCTTATATTCACGAATTCACGTCTACATAGTGAAAGGCTTTCTAATTCACTGTGCAAACCAAGGTTAGGCAAAACACATTTATCATATTAATTAAAACAGTAGAAGGAAGTCTGAGCCACAAGGGGTGGGGATTCCAAATCATTTCATATTGCACTTCCACAGCATAACTAATTTTCTTACTCTTGTAACACATCTGCTTCCTCAAAAGAGGCTAAACAGACAATCCATGTTCTCAAACAAATACAGGTTTACATCTATTTTTGGCAGAACATTAATAAATCACCAGAGAGTCCTATCATTATGTAGGTAAAAATTGGTGAGGAACCATGAAGCTCATTAGCAACTTCTGCTCATGACACATGAAAATTCAAGTCTTCAATGAGACAAAATCTGTTCTCCAATTCCTTCACCTCCATTTCCACTTAAGTAAGGATTCTGACAGTTTTGATTATTTCACTTTTGAAAATATGTTTAAGAATGGACAACAGCTTTCCTCCCAGGCTACTGCTCTTCAGTCAGGAGAAACCTGCTAACAGGATAGCTTGCATGTTTGTGTGTGCGTGCGAACAGCAGGAGGACTGTGCCCAAAGAAGCACATGCAAGATGGGGAAGAATAGGGCATAGAATTGGATCAACTGCATTTTCAGATTCATAAGAAAGTAAGGGATTACATTTATATTGTAATTCCATAACTGACTGTAGGAACAAAACCATGCAGACTTTCACAATCCCTTCTCATAATGCTTTTGTTGATAATGAAAAAGAAGATTTCTTTCTTTTTTGAATAGCTCTCAATGTATAGAAGGAATATAGCCAGGAAGGCAGAATTGCAAGGCTGTGTATGTGTGTGTATGTGGAGGAGGGAAGATATCATAAATTGGCAAGAGCAAATAACCAATATTATGTATGGGGAAAAGAAAACAATACAACATCAATGCAATTCACCTTCCAATAAAACTATATTCAATTGCCTAATAACTTGCCCGTCAGTTCTCCAAGATGAAATCAGTGAGAGCTTATACTTATTTGCTCTAAATTTCAATTTGGTCTAAGCAAACTTTGTATGATCTGAGTTGTGTTCCAGAAGACCTGAATTACATTCACAGTAATTGCATGCCAAATCTTTAGGCCATTCTCAGCTATGAAAGGACAAAAGTGTTTCTGAATAACACTGTTTCCATGGATCCTTATAATACTATGCCAAAATCTAAAGACACTAGTCCTTGGACAGCTGACTTCAGAAATAACTGTCTCTGCCAAAGATTTATACTATGTTTTGGCTTTGAGTAGTAATTATTTCCAATTAGATCAGATTTTGCAGCCAAGAAGCATAAAGACTATTATTCTCCTTTGATCTTTACTCCCATCATCAGGGATACTGAAGCATTCTATTTTCATTCAGCTATTTCACTAATCTAAAATGATAGTCATCTTCATATAAGCATATATTTATAATAAAACTTTGAAAATAATAATCATTTGAGAATTCCTCTGGATGTAAACAAAATCAAGCTTTCCTATATGACATTGAAAGTATAAATATGTTAAAGTATATAACATTTTTTTCTATTTTAGATTATTTTCTTCCAGAATAGAAAAAAAATATCTTGAAGCAATATTCACCAAGTAAAACTAGTGCCAACAGTAATTGTTCGATTGCAGAAATTTAACTTCCTTCCTTCCTTCCTTCCTTCCTTCCTTCCTTCCTTCCTTCCTTCCTTCCTTCCTTCCTTCTCCTTTTTTCTGGCAGATTATTAATTTCAGAACAGGACCTAATTTTATATTTTAATTTGTCACTTAAGTTTCTTTCTTCTTTTTCCTTTTCCAAGTTCATAATTTGGACTTTTGGTAATAGTTTTTTTTTTAAAGAAGCAAAATTTTTGGAATCATAAGAAACTAGCAAGTATGCACCAAGGGACGCTTACTTCTTTAAACATTATTCTATCAAATTCTCCAAGGACATTTGAAATTGAAGGGGCGGGGGATAAACAGCTTTTTGAGATTTAGGAAGAGAGAATATATTGGAAGGAAACTGCAAAAATATCCAGGTGCCAGGTGTGTTGCTCTGTATTGCAGCCAGATTAAAAGAAAGGAGTATTTTATGAGAATTTAAACACAGTCAGAAATTAAGTAAATGGAGCCAAACAACCGAAATTTAAAGCGCCAGGGGTATTTGTTAAATCACCAGCTTTAATATTTTTATTGGCTTTGCAAAAGGACTTTATGAATAGAATCTTTTCGTGCAAATCACAAACCCACCAACTGATTAATCATCCTTTCTTTTTGTATCTTAGCAGCTGATATATTTCACTACTAGGAGCAACTACAGAGATGGACTAGTTGTTCAATCAGAACATGCAGGAAATAAACACTAATAATAGGTATTCAAATTGGGGCATTTTAAAGGCATATATTTTTTTCCTGCCAAATAATAAAATGGGCAGATAAGAGGCATCCTATGTATATCAAAACAACTGCTCTGTATTTAGAAAACCACAGTCTTTTATATATAGTTAGGTATATTTTTGGCATTTTCTACTCTAGAACACTAAATTTAAAGCAAGAATCATACAAGAGAATACAGCATACCTTCCACGTTGCTGCATTGCGTCTGAAGTAGGCAAACATACGTGTGAACCAGTTGTAGATTTCATTTAGTGTTAGCTGCTTTTCTGGAGATTCAAGAATTGCCTGTCAAGCAATTAAAATGCAACCGTGATCAGAAAATACACTTGCACATTTGTCTGAATAAATAAAACAAAATGGAAGTCGGAGAAAAATAAACACTTGCACTGACGATGGAAGATTAGTGGTTGTACTTAATAGCAAAATGGCAAAACTGAAAATGGAATTATCTAATTGTTTTGAGTTTTATTTCTGTTTCCTTACGGAAATATTAATTTATTAGTCATTCAGAGAGCAGAATCAAAGAGAAACGCAAAACATTTCACTAGCTGATTAAAGCTTAGTAATTATTTTGAGCTCAGATTAATTCTAGGGATCAGAGATTACTATAGCTTGTGATAATTGACTTGCCATCTTTAAACAGGCTCATTTTCAGTGTTGTGTGAAATGAATTTCCTAATAATCACATCGTATTGTAATACTTAATCAAAAGCAATTATGGTATATGTATTGCAGTTGTGGGGAGAAAAAAAACCCTCATATAGCAACAGTGTCAGTATGCCTGTATTAGCTAATCATCTGTTCTTGCCTATAGCATCACATATATGTACAATCCTGGATTTCAGCAGGTTTTCAGGGATGGTATCGCTTACCTGCCTAATTAAAGATGCATATGTAAAGGGCGGCCTGACTTCTGCATTCTTGTAGAATTCTTGGTTCTGCGCAATATCTGCTAAATGAAGGCGAAGAAGGCTCCTGTTAGCCATGGCTCATAGTTTTGTCAAGTTGTATTTGAATGGGAAGAACTAAACCCTTTTTTCCAGCTGGCTTTCTAGTTACCTGAGGAGATGGGCACATTGTATTTATCAGAGTACCGCCTTCGGATGGGTCCAACGTTGTGCATGCTGGTAGTAGTGATGACAGAAGGTCCCTGGGTAACAGGAGTGATGGGTGCTGTCGGGGTGGTGGGAGTATGAGGTAAACTCTGTGGAGAAGCCTCTGATGCAGTCTTGGAAAGCGTGACATTAGAGACAAGATTCAACTATTGAAACAGAAAAAGAAACCAATTTCCTGGATTAACAAATACATTGCCCCAAATACCTTTTCATGCACTGACATGTTTTTTTTATTAAGACAGATTGAATATATTTTGTTACTCATACTCAATGGAAAAAAAATAAACAGTGTTAGAGTAGGACTGGGGAGATAACCTCAACTATGAAAAGTCACTTGTAAGATATAAATCAAACCAGTAAGAAGCATGCAATAAATTGATAAATAAATGCCTTCATAACTTTGTTCCCTACCTACTCCATCCCCTGCAGTAAAAACATTCTAATGTAGATGTGCATTATATGTTTACTGAGGGTTTTGAACATAATATGGGTAGATAACCTGATAAAGCCTTGTTTTTACATTTATATAGCTCAGCGGCCCCCAACCTTTTGGGCACCAGGGACCAGTTCCATGGAAAAAGGTTTTTCCGTGAAACAGAGGGGGTGTGGTTTTGTGTGCTGCCTGCATCCCACAAACAGGGCTTCACTTGTTTGCGTGGCCTGGTTGCTGGCATGCTGGGGCCCGGTACCGGTGCACGGATCAGGTGTTGAGGACCCTGACATAGCTGTATGAATGAGTGGGCAACAAAGACAGATTTAAAGTGAGGTTATGAAGTGGCAAGTGGAGAATACTGCAGATGAGCTAAACCCAAAAGAGTACAGGTTTCATTAAGGGGGAAAAAAATCCCTGGAAGTAAATTGATCAAATATTTACTTTCCACACTATAAGAGATTTTTTTTTAAATCTACCTTATCCTGAGTACACAATTGACCAGTAATATTATCTATAATTCTGGTAATCTGAGGCTATACTGTAATCACAAATATCTTTCATTGGAAATTCATTCTTTAAAAAGATTGGCATTTTGGGGTCAGTATGAAACCATTGATTTTCTGGCCTCAGAAAGAATTTAAGGAGGCAACGTGTTTCTCAGTCAGGCATAACAAATAACACCGGCTAAACTGGCTGGGTTTTTTTTTAGAATGTTTAAAGTTGAAGCTAGAGAAGACATACACTTCTTGACATCCCCACTTGGTCCTTTATAGTAGATGTTGCCTCTTTTAGATACAACCAAGAAAAACATGGGGATACCTGCATATATGTTGATGCCCAAGCAGTTCTGACCCTTGATAAGATCACGAAGACTGCAGACATATGTTTAACTTACAAGACCATCCTACTGAAATCAGTGGGTTTTTTCTTCTGAGCAATTAAGTTATAGGATTACATTGGAAAATAGCAGATTTTTCTTTCAGGCAAATTAACACAAAAGATTGCCTAAAGTACTTTAAAGTATTACAAATTAAAAGAATATTATTATATCTATACACCCAGACTTCTCATGGACTGAAAATCATAGATAATTGCCTTTCGCATTGAGGATTTAAGAATTTATATTGATGTCACCAATCCTTTCTTTGGGTTCCTTAAGGAAAATTAACTCCATTATTTTAAGGTAATTTTCTTATGAAACTATACAAAATGTCCTATACAAAAGACAGAAACTCTTTTTCTAATATCGTTTTCTAATATCTTGGGAAATTATTGTTATTGTTATCAATTACACTTTTAAAATGTAAATGTTCTTTTTGTTTCATCTATGGTGTTAGTACATTTTCATGAAAATTGACTTGTTGAAAAAAGGTTTTGACCACCAGATTCTTTATTTTCTTTCTGTTGATTTAAAGTAGACAATCAATAAAGCCTCTCACATATATTCTTTTGTTAGAGATACCTAAGTATCTTATAAATAATAAAGTTTTTTTATTTGCACTTTAATTTGAATACTTGAAGGGGGTTGGGTTAGAGGAAAAACAGAATGAAATAAATCAATATATAAAACCTACAAATGTTCACACAGAAGAGAAAAAGATTCTCTTAGGTAATCATCATGACAAGTCAACCGCCAGGGGAAAAAAATGCCTAACTGAATCTATATTTTAGCTCAAGTAATGCAACTGAAATAACTGAATCACGCATCTATATTTTAACTCAAGTAATGCGAAGTTTGGGTGCAGATACGCAAAACCAGACTGATCCAAGCTCTCAACACTCTCAACACTTATCATGATGGGTTGACAGAGATGGGAGGGAGTAAATAAATAAAACTTCTGGAGGATAGACAATAGAAAAGAACTGTTAGTCCATGTGAGTTCAGAGTTCATTGTTTGGCTGATGTCAGCAGACAATCCTACTCTGTGATCAATATAGCTACTATCAGAATTCAAGAGGCGCCTGGGAAAGCTCTTCCTTTAATGGGAGACGGTATCTGTCCTTACTCCAGACACTTGGGATACTTAGAATTGGCAAGCAGAACCTAGGAGTGTCCCTCTTCATTCATTTTCTTATTTATACTTCCTTCTGAGGAACTGTTCCTTCGTTTGTGCATACACCAACGAACAGCATTTCATTAGCAAAAGCAGCAGGGAGTGGGGAGAATAGGGGTAGAGGACACCGACTGCAGTGGCCTTCTTCCCCAGCTTTTTTTCTCTTCAGGCTATGATTATTATTATTGTTTGTAGCAAACAGCATCTATCTGAATGTCTCTGTATTTCTGGAACGTAAACAGCATTGAGGAGGCATTGAGAAAGAAAAGAAAACCAATCCTCGCACAACTTGATCAAGAAGTGGTACGATTAATTTGACAGTTTTTTTTTTAAATAGATTATTTTGATTTACAATATGCTTTTCTACGTGCAAGATGCTGAATTGACAACATAGTACTGAAGTGTACTAAAGGGCATGCTGGTCTGGAACTTTTTATCTTTGGTTTTTCAAAGGCTCTCAACGGAATGAGGATTTTGCTTTCAAAACAGTAATGCAATGAATAACACAAAATGACAGTCAGGGACTTCGAAGTGACCTATGACTGCATTCTCCCAAGCAGGTAACTAACTCGGGCAAAAGGGAAAGAGCAGATAGGCTACCCTATGTTCTTTTATTTGGGGAAACTGGATGATTGCATTTTGTTACGCCCTTCTGGCATCCATCCATCCATCACATATGATAAAAAGCACGGGGATAACAACAATGCAAAGTCTCCCTGAGAAATTGAATCTCCTCTATTTTATCTCTGCTCTTAAACAGCATGAGCAAATCTGAATCAATTTCCAGTGTTCTTGCACTGCACAAACTCAGAAGATTGGCTCTCCTGCTGAAAAGCACACGGATACTGTTTCCTCATTACTTTTCAAACCACTCAATTTCAAACAAGTTCAATTCTGTTTTTGCTGTTTAAAAGCTTAAACGTTTAATCTGTTTCTACTAGGAAGCTGGGGGAGGGGGTGAAAGGCCCAAAGGTCAACGTTCTCCAGTTAAATAATTTGAATTGAGTTAAATTTCTTGAGGCAGTCAGGGTAGGTAATACAACTAGAAATAAACACAAAAGTGAAGAAGAACAAAGGGAGGGGGCACCGCCTTGAACAGGCTCGACAAATGACACTGCAATTCACACCCACTGCTAGGCTGCCACTAATAAGCTAAAGAGGAAGCAGCCAATCTTGGCTAATTACCAGATAAAATTGTATTGTAAGGACTCTAATTAAAAGATGCTTATGGAGGTGATCTAATGATTAAACACTACATCCCAGTGACCCCACCATCAATGTGCAATGGCGTAAGATGTCACTGGAATATTTTGCAGAAACAGTAATTTTATTTCAAGGGTAAGGGAGAGGCCGTAATATTTGTAATAATGGCTACGAGGTAAACTCATTAAAACACAGTTCCTAAAGGAAGGCTGTGGCTTTCAGCATCTGTGGCCATTCCAAAGCAAAGTGCCAAATCTTGACAGAGGAACTGCAGTCAAGTGGAAAATTTCTGCCTGACCTCTGCTCTTGCTATTAATTTGCAGGAAAACTAATGACACATATACATATTCCCACAACATTTTTCTAATTGCTAATTTGCTAAAAGAGCCTAGTTCCCAAATTAAACCTGACTGCCGTCTGAGAAGAAAGGGTTGGAGAGAGGGAAAACAGTGAGAGCAGATGCCTAGAGAGCTTTGCGCTTTATCAGAGGTAACTGCTAGACTGGCAGAAGGAACAAGTTAAAAAAACCAAGACATGTCACTTACTATGAAAGTTTTGCTTTTCGAGCTTTTCTGTAAGGAGAGCCTCTTAGTGTTTTCACGACATAATGCGGAGAAGAGCATTTTATTTACATCAGGGATGCTTGATAATAGGCTGCTTTCACTGCCTCAACTACAGATAGCATTTATGAATAGGAGCACAACTAATTCAGGCGTGGTTCTGTTGTAATTGTCAACTACTAAGCTTCATTATAATTTATTAAACATTCATTGTTTAAACCATCAACTATGAAAAAGGCCTACAGTGAACTAAAGACAATTTTGTGGGGCAAAGGTCACAAATGGCTAAGAGTGATGGAATTTATTTTTTTGATTGATATGCCACATCAGTTTCTACTTAGAAACATCATTGCTTGGATTTGAGAAGTGGTTGATAAAGATTTTTCTCATACAAATAAGGTTCATTTATTGCAATTTATTTTCATCAAGTTGCTGGAGCTAACAAAAGCGAGTTTTTGAGGCAAGCTCTACTACTAGTGGCCTTAATTATTACAGTTAAGAGCTGTAATTTTTGGACTGTATAAAAGTATAGAAAACAACATAGGAATGAAAAAATAATCTATCTCTCTACCGCCAAAAATTAGTTGCCTTTGTGTTCTGCTAGGAACAAATTCTATACCAGCAAAAGCATATTCAGAAATATAAATTAGTTTCCTTTTGTCTGTGTGTGTATATGTGTTTAGGACACCATTTATAGAATTGCAACTTTGACTATCAAAGGGTTTTAACAATAAGGTATGTGATGTGTGCTCATGTAAACTTGGTTTATACTTGGTCTTTCTCACACCCCTACTCATGCATACATATATAATATTATTGTTCTACAGTGCATGAGCAAAGCTATCCATAATAGGCATATTTGCTTTTCTTCAAGTTTGTATTTGTTTATCCCTTTA